TGCTGGCATTTCAAATACCGGTGACATAACTTCTAGCACCACAACAACCCACAAACCACCACAGTGTGACAAACTGACAGACAAGTCGTGGACAGATCAAAGTGGGTGTCAGAAGAAACTCTGAAACTTGCTCTACATCTGAGAGTAGTCAAAGAAAATGGAAGAAAGGATGAAGTCAAAGAGCTAAGCAGAATATTTCAAAGGGCAAGTCGAGAAGGCAAAGCCAAGTATTGTGACAAAATGCGCAAGGACTGAAAATTAGAAAACCAAAAATAAGAGCACACTCAGCATATCTGAAACGGAAAGAACTCACGAAAGCATTCAAGCCTTGAATTGCAATTTTGAAAGACTCTGTAGGCAAAATACTGAATGACGCAGGAAGCATCAAGAGAAGATGGAAAGAATCACTGTCCCTAAAAGAACTAGCCAACAGTCCACCGTTTCAGGAGGTACATATGAATAAGAACCAGTGGTGCTAAAGGAAGAAGTTCAAACTGCACTGAATGCGTTACCCCAAAACGAGGCTCCAGGAATTGACAGTATACCTACTGAAATGGTTCCAAAAGCTCAAGCAGCACTGAAAGCACTCACTCACTCTCTCGCCTGTGCCAGGCAATTTGGACCACAATTACTTGACCAAGTGACTGGAAGAGATTCATATTTGTGACTTCTAAAGAAAGGTGCCCCAATAGAATGCTCAAACTGTAGAACAATATCATTGATATTGCACACAAGTAAAATTTTGCTGATGAATATGTGGCAGTTACATAATCTCCCATACACTTGAGCAAAGGGGTAGAGTCTAGCCTGTCAATCAGGTCACAGTTTGATGACTTCATTTGGAGGCATGATGGAGATAAATAGCTCACTGGAGGCCAGACCCACTCTCTCTGCCTCCCCTTTCCTGCTGTTGAGACCCTCAGAGAGCTGGAGGAGACACATGGAAACCCACACCAGTATTGGTATGCTTTTGCTGCCACTGGATCCACAAGACTTTCTACCCACCAGCCTGTGATCTTCCTGCATTCGGCATCATTGCATGTACTGCATGAGTCTAAAGAGGAATTTATAGACTGGTATCAGACATATGGGCTAATATGGACTTATGGGCTTGATCTTGACGAGGCTGGGATACTTTCTCAATATACAATCGCTCTTTTATATAAAGCTCTTTCTTGTACATATATATAAGTATCTGAATTTGTTTCTCTAGTCAACCCAGACTAACACAATCATCCAACACCTGTTGTAGCAGTACATTGACAGGGAACTGCTAGAAATTCAGGCTGGATTCAGAAAAGGACATGGAACAAGGGATATCATTGCTGATGTCAGATGAATCTTGGCTCAAAGCAAAGAATAACAGAAACATGTTTACTGTGTTTCAAAGGCATTCAACTGTGTGGACCATAATAAACTGTAGACAACTTTGAGAAGAATGGGAATTCTAGAACACTTCATTGGCTCATTGGAAACTTGTACATGGATTAAGAGGCAGTTGTAGAACATTGCATGCTTTGAAATCAGGAAAGGTGTGCATCCGGGGTATATCCCCTCACCAAACTTGTTCAATCGACATGCTGAGCAAATCATCAGAGAAGCTGGATTCTCAGAAGAGTGTGGCGTCAGGAGTGGAGGAAGGTTTATTAACAATTGGCAGTATGCACATTGGTTTCCTTTCCATTTCCCTTGCCCACACAGTCGACTGTGCCACTAACCTCCACAGAGCCCAGGACCATTGAGTAGATTCTGACTCACAGAGACCATATAGGACAGGGTAGAACTGCCCTATAGGGTTTCCCAGGCTGGAAAACGTTAAGGGGAAGAAAACCTTGTCTTTCTCCTCCAGAGTGGCTGGTGGGTTTGAATCACTGATCTTGTTGAGAGCCCAATGCTTAATCCACTATGCCATTAGGGCTTCCCCTAATTACATAACCTGTCCCTTTTTAAAACCCCTCCCAAATCTTACTCATAGTGACCCTATAGAACAGGGTAGAGTTGCCCCTGTGGGTTTCCGAGACTGTAACTCTTGATGGGAGTAGAAAGCTTCACCTTTCTGTCTAGTAGCAGCTGCTGATTTCAAACTGCTGACTTTGTGGTTAGCAGCCAACACATAGCCCATTATGGCACTAGGGCCCCCCTGAATTACATGGAGGAGATGAACTATTATTTACAGGATGTTTCCTCCTAAATTCTATGACCTTGACCTATAATACATTGGTTAATAAATACAATTAATTCCTAAAGTTGCAGAATATGAGGCCCAGGAAGAACATGTTCTAATTGATAAAACCATTGGAAACAATTGTGATAAAAAATGAAGCC